TGCGCTACAGCCCCCAAAACCCCAGACACGTCAGCAGGAGCCCAAAGCCCCTGGAGGTGCCTCAGCTTTCCTCAGTCCCAAGCACTGGGGAGGGGTTTAGGAGCAGGGAGGTAGATTTAGAAGCCCACAGCTCAGGAGGGTTTTTTGCTTCGGCTGTTAGACCTGGCAGATTCAACCAGGGCTCAGAGCTCAAAGGAAAGGGGAGGAAGAGTGTTTTCTGTGTTGAAGCAGATAAATAACTGTTGACTTTTTGACACCTTTCTTGCCTCTTCTGTGGCTGCAGGAAACACTTTCGAGCCAGTGACGATGTTCAGACATGCAGTTGCCAACGTGATCTGCTCCGTTGTCTTCGGGAGCCGTTACAGCTACAGCGACACGGCCTTTCTGGAGCTACTGAACATTATCGGGAATTACACCAGCTTCTTCCTCTCCCCCTTCGCCTTGGTAGGTGTCCTTGGTGTGCTCAGCACCCTCGTGTCTAGTGCATTGGGGTGGTTGAGGGATGCTCCTTGGCTTTGGGTCACTCCTTGGCTTTGATGGGACAGCATGGCTTTGAGGGAAGGTGCAGGAGGCTCCATCCAGGTACCTGAGCCCTTCTGTGCCTCCTCCATCTGCAGATCTACAACACCTTCCCCAACATCATGCACCACCTCCCGGGGCCACACAGGAAAGCCCTGGCCGAGTGCGAGAAGCTGAAGGACTACATCCAAGAAAAAGTCGAGCTTCACAAGCGGACACTGGATCCCAGCTGCCCCCGGGACTATATCGACTGTTTCCTTATGAAAGCGGAGAAGGTAGAGGTGGTGCAAAGCAGGGCGAGGGTTGCTCTCCAGAGCTGGCTGCAGCCTGGAAAATCACCTAGACCATACTGAATCCCCTCCCCACTGTATCCTTGCAGGAGAAGAGCAGCCTGGAGAACATGTACAGCAATGAAGACTTGGTCATGTCAGTATTCGACCTCTTTGGTGCCGGGACACTGACCACTAGCAACACCCTGGTCGTCTTCCTCTTGATCCTGGCAAAATACCCCCATATTCAAGGTAAGGGCAGCAAAATGCGACGGCTCCCTGTGCCTGAGGAGGTCACTGTGCAGCAAAGGCACAGACAGAGAGTCCCAGCCCTGGAGGGTCCTGTCTGGGGGGGGACCAAAATCATCCTGCATGTGCAGATAGCCCCGGACTGGCCCATGAGAGATGCCTTACCCTGCCTGATCCAGGGAGGTATGCGGGCTGAGACCCTATTTCTGGTCTCTGCGAGGGGTTGCTCCCTCTCTGCTAGGTCATCCTTTGGCTGTAGGATCGGTGCCCATGGAGGGCAGTGAGAAATCACGGGGGTGGCTCTGCACCACAGCCCCACGCCCGCCTTTTCCCCAGCCAAGGTCCAAGAGGAGATTGATGCGGTGGTGGGCACCGGCCGTGCTCCCTGCACGGAGGACAAGCTGAGGATGCCATACACCAATGCAGTGATCCACGAGATGCAGCGCTTCCAGAAGACGCGCGTGGAGAACTTCCCGCGGATGACGACGCAGGACGTCGTGTTCAGGGGCCACACCATCCCCAAGGTAGACATCGTGGCCCTGGAGTCTCTGTGTCCCCGAGGGAAGGGGTGGCAGGGGGGCTTGAATGAGATTCGCCTTTGCCCCTGGACTGTTTGCTCACTCCTGAAGGTCCTGGGTCTTTCCCAATCCTCGGTGGGGGGAGATGGCGATAACCTTTTAGCGGAGGAGTAGAGGGAGGTGAATGCTGCTGCCAGTTCTGCCCACACACCCGCGTCCCTTGCCCGTCCTGGAAAACACCTCTTGCCACCAGGGAGATGTGCAGGGCTGCTGGGGCTGGGACCCTGAGCTCAGATCTGGGGATGGCCCCCGGTCTGGGTTTAACTGCAAGCAGTTTGTACAACACCCACCTTGAAGGAACATCTCCCCCCTTTGGACTTTGCACAGTGCGAGGGGTTTTAACATAAATCAATGGGAATAACTCAATAATTTCTGTCTCATGAGCTGCACAGAGACCAGCAGGACCATGGGGGCCACGGAGCCCCACGTTAGTTGTCCCTGCCGGGCACAGAGCCATCGCTCCGGGCTGCCTCACGGGCATCTGGGTGGGCATCGGGGTGTGCACCCAGCCTCCCCCGTGTCCCCCAGATGCTCCTCACTTGCTCATTCAGCTCAGCAGAGCCCGATGCCGTGACACTGATGTCCCTCCTTGCTCCCCTGCCTCTCCCGCAGAACACAACTGTGATTCCGGTATTTGCTTCTGTGCATACGGATCCAACCCAGTGGGAGAACCCCAAAGAAGTCGACCCAAGCCACTTCTTGGATGAGAAGGGCGAGTTCAGGAAGCGCGAAGCCTTCATGGCTTTCTCGGCAGGTCAGTGCTCAGCCCCGCACGCCGCCTTTGCGGGCACCCTGCCTGCAGCGGCCCCGCTCCAGGGACCACCAGCATGAATATCAGTTGGCACCAAAGCTATACCCTTAATATGAGCTTTCTCACTATCCTTTTATGCCCTTTTTTCCCCAAACGCTGGATGAGGCCATCAGCCCGGTGCTCACTCCCCCCTTTCCATGCCCGCAGGGAAGCGGATGTGCCCAGGAGAGGCGCTGGCCCGCATTGAGCTCTTCCTTTTCCTCACCACGCTGCTGCAGAGCTTCACCTTCCAGCTCGCCGTCGAGCACAAGGAGACAGATATATTCTCCCTATGGCTCGAGATAGAGAGGAAAGCAATACCGGGCACGTTCTTCGCTATTCGGCGCCCGGTGTCCTCTTGAGCAGAGAGCAGCGGGGAGAAGGAAGGGGTCTTCCAGGTGCCTTCACTTCTGAAATCAGAGCAAGCCATGCGACCGTGAATGCTACAGCAGCAGCCACCAAGCAGGAGGGTCGCTTTGAGCTTCTCCTCAGAGAACTGCCAGGCATCTCCACCACCATGGACAATCTGCTCCCAACCCTTCCTTCCACATCCCAGTAACACGAGGAAGACAGCACTGGTTTTCCTCCTCCCATACCTGTTGGCTCTCACTGAGCCTCTAGCTCCTTGGGGCAGGGCTGCATGGAGCTCCCTGGGCCGAGCTGGGCGCTCCCTCATTTTGGTGAGAGATTAAGAGTGCTTCTGCAATAAAAAGTAACCATCGTAACTGGATGCTGGTGTTTGTAAGGACACTCGCGGTGCCTCTTGACGTAAGGGCGGTGATGCTCAGGCTTCCCTGCCCTTCGCCCGCCCCCAGCCACAACAGCCAAGGTGACAAACACCTAATGCTTCTGCTGCCCTGCTTGGACCCCTCTTGGTACCCTCCAGCGTTACACAAGGTCTGCAACACTGCAAACTGCGCTCACTCCCATCCCTGCATCCCACCGCACAGGGATGAAACCCCGGTGAGCACCCTTTAGCCCATCAAAATGTTAAAAAATGATGCATAAAGGGGAAACGTGCTATAGGAGCGGGGTGCCGCGCTTGGGAAGCGAGAAGTGTTTTGCCACCAAAGTCACTGCTTCCTTCTCAGGGTGCTGGATAAGTCTGCTGTGCTTGCGCTGCTTTAACCACCCCTGCATGAAGAGGGATTTAGTTGCTAGCCCCCAGGAACGCTCCAGCCTTTATTCCAAAACATTGGGACTTCAAAGAAAAGAGTTTTTTCTTTAAATACCTGTGCAAGGAAAAAATGACCCAGACACATGCCCGCCCTGCCTGGCCTCAGCAACGGCCTGGGCTTCTCCTTCCACCGGCGGGCAACTGAATGTGTCTCCAGGCCTTGGAAAACCAGTATGTTTCCCATTGCGTCCCGTTCTTCCCAGCGCAAACCTCCCAGATACAGGACTTCAGCTCCATGTCTGTTCCCAGGGTGTCTTCATCCTTCCCCGATTTTTGCGTGTCCCAGGACAGACTGAGCCAGGCAAACATTCAGTTTGTTTTAGCTGATTTGCCTCCATGGCTTTAATCTTCAAATGAATCTTACGCATCTCAGGAATTTATTGCTTGCTTCAAAACACTAATCCCCACAGCTCTGCCCACCGGGAGGGCTCCCCAGGCAGGCAGGCAGGCAGGCAGGCAGGCAGGCAGGCAGGCAGGCAGCACTGCCTGCACCAGGGACAGGCAGAACCACCCCAGCTCTACCAGCAGCAAAATGGTTTCAGCTGGAGAAGGAGCACAGGTTTCCAATAAAAGGGCTGAGCTGCAGCACAGCAGAGCTGTGGCTCAGGAGGGCTATGTGGGAGAGTAGAAGAGATTAAAAAAAAAAAAAAATATCCAGCTTGCTATCTCAGCTGCTGGGCTGTGCCTCTCTGAGGTCTCCCATGTCAATATTTACCTCTAGCAAATACCCTCAGGTGCCTGTGCAGCTTTGTGTACTCATGTGCAGCTGGCAGAGTAGCGCTGGGGGTTACCTGAGAGGAGCTGGCAGCGTGGGACATGCGCCCAGGCCGCCCGTGCTCCCTGGGTCAGCCTTGCTGCAGGGGGAGCGGCCGCAGTGGCGGGGCTGGGGGTCTCTGTGAAGGCTGGGACCGGAGGCAGTGGGGGTTATATGGGGGTCTCAGGACTGGTTTTGGTGGGGGTTGCCTTGTTGGGGTGCTTGTACCTCCTTGGAAGCATGGGGGCGGGGCAGGGATCTGCCCTGGGGAGAGGTGGCTGCTCCCTCCAGAGCCCTCCTGGATCTGGGATCGGGGATGCTGAGGGCTTCTCTCACCCTGGGACAGCAGGTCCTCAGGGGTGGGTGCTGCCATCCCAAAGGGACTATTTTGCAAGAAAAGGTTATTTCCTAGATACCCTGAGGCACCTAGGAGGGTAGGTAAGAAAGAGGAGCATTTCTGTGCATAGGGAGTGAAATGCATCTCTGGGAGGGGCTGCGGCCTCTGCAGAGGGGAGCTCCAAGCTTTGACTTAATTTAACAAGCAAGCACAGAGCGGCAGCCCGTAGCTGGGTTTGGAACCGGTGAAAAGGGGTGGGCTGGCTGTAAGTAGCTCTTTGTGGCAGGAGAACAACCCTGCACTGGAGAAGAATGGCTGGGGCTGGAGCCCTGCTTTTCTCTGCTCGCTCTGCCCGAGAGCTGTGTTCCAGTCCCGCGTGGGGCTGTGGGTGGGACGGCGGCTCGGGGGCCCCCGCC